TCCTGCTTACCTCTCTAAAGCCATGCTTTTTAAAATTATCCTCCCTTTTCCTAATATCCTCAGCTTTTCTCCCTTCATCCACCCACACTCTTAGACCCCATAGTATCAAATTTCTCTCCTTAGAGATTCAGGCATTCTTAAATCTGTCCTCTATCCAGATCTCTTGGTGTAATCCTCCTGCCCCTCATTACTTTCCATTTCCCCCCTTTCACTGTGAAATGCTCTAGACCTGTGGTCTATACCACCAACATTATTTCCATTTTCTCCCTAACCCTTGCAGTCAAATTCCATAGGATCCATGCCTCTAACAATTTCTGACTTTAAAGTCAGCAGTGGTAACCTTCCAGTGCATATTTTAATAGTTTTGATCAGCCTGAAATTCTTGCCCACCTAGCTTGAATTATACCACTTGAATCTGATTTTATCGTTTAAGTGTTCCTTTACCAATTTTTTCACCAGATTCTCTTCTTTCTTACTTTGTTGAAGTGTCCCTAAAGTTTTGTCTTCTACTATCTATTCTTTTTTTAAATTCTGTTTTCTTCAAAGGAATAATCTATTGTGTAAATACAAGCTATTTATTCTATACTGGTGACTTCCAAGATAAATTTATCTTGTCCAGATAAATCTTCAATTCCTTTGTCTTATCTTTCACCTCCTTACAGGATAGCTTATTCTCAGATGGTCAGAAATTGAAAGCTTTATCTTTCTTTCTAAGTTAGAGCTTCCTTCCACCTTCCTTGTTTTTATCAGGGTCAGATTTTAGGCCTGTCTGCCATGGAGTTCCCATGAATCCTTGCTCTCTGCCTTCCCTCTTACTATTCTTTCCTCAGTTCCTGATTTTCCCCGCTCAGTTCTGACTGACATCACCCAAATTAGATTCATATTGTCCCATACCTAAATTGCTCCAATTCTTAGGTAGATTATTAAATACCCCCCTTAAAAATTCATCTTAGATGTTGCCACAAAACATTAAAATATTCAGTTATTATATATCACTGCAGTCCCCAAATTAGCAGAATGTCCACAATATCTTTTTAAGTTTCTTCTAACATTGAATTTTTTAAGACTCCATGAATTCCCAAAGACCAGAGAGACCAGTCCTTCAAATGACAAATGAAGAGACTTCATACAGTTTTCTTTGTTTGTTTATTTTATTTTATTTTATTTATTTATTTTTGGCTGCGTTGGGTCTTCATTGCTGTGTGCAGGCTTTCTCTAGTTGCGGTGAGCAGGGGCTACTCTTCATTGCTGTGTGCAGGCTTCTCATTGCGGTGGCTTCTCTTGTTGCAGAGCACAGGCTCTAGGCTCCCAAGCTTCAGTAGTTGTGGCATGAGGGCTCAGTAGTTGTGGCTCACGGGCTCTAGAGCTCAGACTCAGTAGTTGCGGTGCATGGGCTTAGTTGTTCCACGGCACGTGGGATCTTCCCGGACCAGGGCTCAAACCCGTGTTCCCTGCATTGGCAGGCGGATTCTCAACCACTGAACCACCAGGGAAGTCCTTCATAGAGTTTTTGATCCATCCATTAGTGGCTCCAGTTTTGGCTGTCTTCACTTTTCTCGCTGATACTTGGTGTTACAACTAAAAAATAATCCTGAGTCATTTAATACATACATTTTTGTCATTGCTACAGTGACTCTATTCTTGGCTCAGGTTCTTCTATCATCCTTGAAGTTTCTTCAAGGAAGGACTGTTCTGTTCCCTCCAATGATTTGCTGGGTCTAATGAGCTCCATGCTTTAGTTTCTGAAGTTACAGTCGTTTTAGCTTAAAATTCATGTCTTAGTTACTGTCACAGATTCAGGACAAGCTTATAGCCTTAATTACATGCTCTGCCAGACCCAGCTCTCTCCTAGTATTACCCTATTATTATACCAGTTCACTAGTTCAGAGCCTCCTCCCCTCCCTCATGGTAAATTTCTCTTGTGGTGCTTTATATCTTTTCCCGCTGGCCAATGTCAGTTGGGACCAGCCCAAATCATCATAAGAGGTTCTTATAATGTTACACCTCAAGGGGAAAGGTTTGAGTTTTGATCCCTTTCTTCCCAGAAGGAGATTTGCCTCCATTGTCCCCAGCATCCTTGGACATTGGAAGATGCAGCCTTGTCATGCTACATAAAAGTTCTTGTTATACTCTTTCTCTCAGGATGCTTGCATCACTTATAATTTCCTAAATGAAAAAGCAGCTGGCAACTCCAATTCTTCCTACTATAAGTATAACACTACTTTATGTATACTTATAAAAATTGATCTACTCCATGGGAACTAATCTCTTAAAAGTTCTCCATAAAAGTAATAGTATTACCTGGCTATATATTCAAACACCATAACTCTTTTCTGTTTGAACTCAGTTTTCACTTTATCCATGTAATGTTCTTTTACTAGTAAAACAACTATTCACTTTTTATCTCTTTCTTTCTGAGGTCATGGGGACTCTTATATCTGCTTCTCTCTTTGAGTCTCTTTGATTCCTATCCTGAAGGTTTTTCTGTTTTTCCATGTCCATAGCTGAAAAAGGCCACCCCCAAAATGGTAGTCCTAGCTTCTAAATTGTTTGGTTTTTACATATGTAATGTCCATATCTAGCTAACGGAAGTCTTCAAGTTTCAATTCTAAGTTCTTAGGAGAATTGTTGAATAGCTGGAGCCTGGTGTTTACCACTGTCCAATCAATTGTTTTCAAGGAAAAGTTGGATCATATACTACAAACATGGCTGCCTACATCTGTCAATGTGGGTGGTGGTCTCAGAGAAGGGAAGCATAGATTGAGAAGATATCTCAAAATGTATAATTGTATAATGTGTGGAGGAAAGAATGTGAGCAATCACTTAGAGTTAGGAATTAGCTTAAAATTTATAATTGGCAATTAGAGTGACCTGACAGGAAGGTGTGCTCCATAGCAAACTATTGGAAAACAAGTGTGTGTGTACACTGTAAATCCAAATGGTGTAAAGTTTATTTGCCAGTATCAAACTTTATAATATGGTAAAAACATCAGGTAACTCATAGAAACTGTGGGATGTTTCTTACTACAGGAATTGCATTATTATATTACTCATGGGTGGTAGTAGTGGAACATCCTTTCCTGCTTAATCCCTCAGTCATCTATATGCTGTTCAGTACTCTTTGATGGACTTACCTTATTTTCTCTTATTTTGGCTCTTTGGGGAGCAATAACAAAATTTTACTTGAGCTATCCTAAGTAAATGGAGGAATTTATTATAAGGCTTCTTGTAACCTAAGGGGTGATACTTCAGCTGGGGACTAGAACCAGTACTGGGAAGCCATTAGGAACTGGGATTATGCAAATGGTCTATTTGAGGACACATGATCTTACATCTCTGCTTTTCTGTGGTTGTATGCTTTATTCTTTGTACTGATGAATTTTCTGTTTACATAGGGAAAATGTGGCTTTGTAGTACTTGTCTTATATCATTTTTAAATTTAGCACCCAGTGGAGACAGAGTCTAAGTCTTTAGGAGACATACTCTTATTGGACATCTTGGCTTGAGCCAGCTGTCTCCTACCGTGACTATGGAGAATTGGATGAATATAGATGGGCTGTAAGAGCCAAATACTATGGGTGGATTGGCAGTTATTAAAGCTGGGCAGCTTGGGCTGAGGAGAGACTTCAAAAGTGTCAACAACAATTACAAGCTTTTAACTTCATCTGTTTTTTATTCACTGCTCCTTGTGTTTATTTCATCTTTTATCGCAGGTTGCAAGGTCATATTTATAAACAGCCAAATCCTTTTCTAATCACTATTGTCAATTTTCTTTTCCTGTTTTTACTACAGCACTTTCCCCCCCAGGTCCAAAAAGACAGGGACATTTGCTTTTGATATTTCATTCACTTTAGGATACTAGGCTTGAATAAAAATTCAGCCCCACAACAAGGCATTTCTTTATAAGTTGTATTCCAAAATATGAGAGTGCAAAGGTTCACAAGAATGTCTCATTGAATTCCACTTTAGAAGAAGTCCAGCAAGATGATGACCAGCTAGAGAACCATCAAGAATCTCAAAACAAACTCCTTAGGGAAGTTGCTTTCAAGAAAACAACTCTGACTAAGAAAAAGGGCCATGAATGTAGTTCATTGGGGGAAAAAAATGTGAGTACAAAATATGTTCCTTCAAAAAAAAAGCTTCTTAAGTTTGAGTCACATGGAAAGAATTTAGACTTACCTGGTCATGTAAGAAATTATGTAGAAAAGAAAGCTGATGCAGCTAAAGAGCATACGAAATCATTCAGCCATAGCTTATCTGATACAAAGAAAGACAAAAATCAAACTGGAAAAAAATGTGAGAAAGTACCCAACCATAGCTCATCTAATAGGCCTGACAAAACTCAAACTGGCAAGAAACATACTGAACGGGACAAAATTCAAACTGGAGAAAAACATAAGGAATCATCCAGCCATAGCTCATCTCCTACTAAGCGTGACAAAACTCAGAATAAAGTGAAACCATTTGAATGTAATGAATGTGGGAAGGTTCTCAGCCACAAACAAGGACTCGTTGACCATCAGAGAATTCATACAGGTGAGAAACCATATGAATGTAATGAATGTGGGATAGCCTTTAGCCAAAAATCACACCTTGTTGTACACCAGAGAACTCACACTGGAGAAAAACCATATGAGTGTATTCAGTGTGGCAAAGCCCATGGTCATAAACATGCCCTCACTGACCATCTGAGAGTTCATACTGGGGAAAAGCCCTATGAATGTACTGAATGTGGGAAAACCTTCAGACATAGCTCAAACCTTATTCAACATGTGAGATCTCATACAGGCGAGAAGCCCTATGAATGTAAGGAATGTGGAAAGTCCTTTAGGTATAACTCATCTCTTACAGAACATGTGAGAACTCATACAGGTGAAATACCATATGAATGTAATGAATGTGGAAAAGCCTTTAAGTATAGCTCATCCCTTACTAAACATATGAGAATTCATACAGGTGAGAAACCCTTTCAATGTAGTGAATGTGGGAAAGCTTTCAGCAAGAAGTCACACCTCAGTATACATCAAAGAACTCATACTAAAGAGAAACCCTATAAATGTAATGAATGTGGAAAATCCTTTGGACATAGCTCATCTCTTACTTACCATATGAGAACTCATACAGGTGAAAGTCCTTTTGAATGCAATCAATGTGGGAAGGGTTTCAAGCAAATTGAAGGTCTTACTCAACATCAGAGAGTTCATACTGGGGAGAAGCCCTATGAATGTAATGAATGTGGGAAAGCCTTTACCCAAAAGTCACACCTCATTGTACATCAGAGAACTCATACTGGGGAGAAACCCTATGAATGTAATGAATGTGGAAAAGCGTTCAATGCAAAGTCACAGCTTGTTATACATCAGAGATCCCACACTGGAGAGAAACCTTATGAATGTAATGAATGTGGAAAAGCCTTCACACAAAATGCATCCCTTACTAAACATATGAAAACTCATTCAGAAGAGAAATCTCATGAGTGAAATTAGTGTGGGAAATCTGAACTAAAGGTTTTATTTAACCTTAGAAGTATTCTAACTTTAAAGAATGTTAGAAAGCTTTTAACAAGAAGTCACACCTTGTTACACATGAGAGAATTTGAAAATGAATCATCACATGGAAGAAATGGATGGAGAGTTTAAACCTTTTATATAAAACATTGTTTTAAAAATAATTATTATAAATGATCTATATGTTCAGATTGAATATAAAGCTTTTAAAATTGTTAATAATTGAATAATCAGAGCACTAGGGAAACAAATTACATTTTCTGACAATTCCTGAGTTGCTTGAGGGTTGTGTACTTAAGCACCACATATGAGAATTGAATTTGCATATCTGTTTATTGCCATGTATAAATGTGTGTGACCATTGGTATGAGTTTCACCTTTGATGCTATCATGCAGCTCTTTCTTAATGTCTTTTCTAGTCCCTGCATCAGCAGAAAACTTTATAAAAGGGTTATTTTCTATGTTAAAAAAATGTTAACACAAAATTAAGAGAAAATGAAAGAAATCAGCTGAGAACACACAGGTGCTGGTAGGGAATGCTATCCAAGATACATTGTTCAGTGAAAAAAGCAGGTTGCTCAACTGTGTATATAGTTTGTTCCCACTTGTGTACAAAAGGGTGTGTGTGTTTTCATGTCTGTCTGTGTGTACGTATGTATGTATTTGTGTATATATATGTGTATTTATATGTGAGTAGATTGGTTTGAAAAAATACAAAAGAAACTTAATGGTTGCCATTGGGCACAGGAATACAGGAATGGGGTCTGGCATGGGAGGGAGATCTCCTTTTTATTGTATACTCTTTAAATTTTTAAATCATGTACATATATTATTTTCACAATTAAAATCCTTTTAATATGTATAAATCAATACTAATGAAAATTTTCACTGAACCCACTCCATGATGTTATTTGACAAAGTAAGAGTTTCTATGCTTATTCATGAATGAGGATATGGTATTAAATTTGATATTGAATTCACAAAGGCTTTTCCTATCAAACATGCTCTTTCATTAAAATAATGAATTACAACTATAACTCAGCACTGTGTTTCTTTTATTCATCATATTTTTAAAGACTGAAGATGAACTGTGACTGCAGCTGAATGAAAGTGATTTTCTGCACAATTGCTCCATTTTATCTCATATTCAAAGTGCTTATACACAAATACCTCAATCTGGGATTTCAAATGTATTGCAACAAATGGCACTACTTCCTGTTCTTGCCCAATAGCAGACCTTGTTAATGTATCACTGAACTCTTTCTGAGTGGATCTAGACTTGGCCTCAGAATCATTCTTAAGCATGCATTCCAGAAGATACTGTTAATCAATTTGGGTTTGCACAGGAAACCTATTTTCCTATTTTTACTCATGAGTCATAGATTAAAAAATACAGCTGAACTGTTCTAAAATTTAAGTTGTTACACTAAAAACAGTAACATAAGAACAAAAGTGGTTTTGTAATATAAGGTAATAATAATATTTGATACGTATGCCACCTTTTACATTTTTTCACAACACATTCACTGCATTACCTGATTTATTCCTCAGAATAAACATATAAGTTGGTAGGAAAGACTTGTCTAGTCATGGTCAATACTTCTCAATAAATATTTCACCTAGATACTAGCCTAGCATAATTATGGACCCTCAACCATATGTGATTAAATGCCATCTTTGCAAATATTTCCTATTCCAATGCCTGCCTTGAACTCATTTTGGAGAACTAAAAAGTATGAATATTTAGAATGGAATGTGTGCATGTGTGTGTGCACTTGTGCACATACATGTACTGAAAGATTAACTCACGGATATTATGCTCTCATTACCAAGTAACTTATTTACTGTCGGGGAAGAAAATGAAATGTGAAAGCCATTTCCACCAGTAATTTATTACCAGGTGAAAATCTAACACTATGCACAGAATGAATCATCACTGTCCAGAGCTGTAGAAAATCTGTACTTTGTAGAAGAATAAAACAGTTGCACATATGGCTAGAAATTTCCTTCACTTCTTGGAGAACCCATGGTAGTGCCACACCTGGGACAGTCAAGAATATAGGTATACCTGAACAGTAAAAATGAATGCTGAAAGTCATCCTGTGCAGTAAAAAATGAATTAAAATTTAGTATCAATTAATAGGAAATGATGTCTAAAAATAATTAGAAGCAAACAGGGCTTCCCTGGTGGCACAGTGGTTAAGAATCTGCCTGCCAATGCAGGGGACACAGGTTCAAGCCCTGAGCTGGGAAGATTCCACATGCCGCAGAGCAATTAAGCCTGTACACCACAGCTACTGAGCCTGTACTCTAGAACCCATGAGCCACAGCTACTGAGCCCGTGTGCCACAACTACTGAGGCCCGTGCTCCTAGAGCCTGTGCTCCACAACAAGAGAAGCCACCGCAACGAAGAGTAGCCCCTGCTCGCCGCAACTAGAGAAAGCCCACGTGCAGCAACGAAGACCCAACACAGCCAAAAATAAATAAATAAATTAAAAAAAAATTAGAAGCAAACAATGAAAGAAAATAGACATACAGATGTGAGTCTAAATCAATGATACACAAGCTTGGGCATTCATCACAGTGGCCTGGAGGGCTTGTTAAAGCATGGACTTTAGAAATGGGCCCCACCCAAATTTCTGACTCAGTAGATCTGTGATAGGGCCTGAGAATTTGCATTTTAAATAAGTTCCCAGAAGATGCTGATGCTACTGGTCTGGGGACAACACTTTGAGAATCACTAATCTGAATAATTGTTTAAGTAAAATTTAAAAATATTTTTAAATGTTCCTAAGACATTTCTTCAATATAAAGAAGAGGAGGAGGCATATATCCATAAAATTAATTATTAACAGTTTTAAAACATTTCTTTATTCAAGAAATATTGATCATCTACTATATGCTGGGCACTGTTCTAAGTCTTAGAGATATAGCAGTCAACAAAGCAAGAAGAAAAGAAATCTTGTCCTCAGAGAGCTTAATTCTAGAGTGGGAGACAGGCAGTAAATCTAAATATAGTTGTCCCTTGGTATCCACAGGGGACTGGTTCCAGGACCAGCCACAGATACCAAGATCTGCAAATGCTTACATCCCATAGTCGGCCCTCCAAATCTGTGGCTCCATATCCAAGGATTCAACCAACCATGGATGATGTAGTACTATATATATTTATTGAAAAAAATCCATGTATAATTGGACCCACACAGTTCAACCTGTGTTGTTCAAGAGTCAACTGTAATTAAAATACAGAGTATGAGAGAGGGTGACAAGTGGTATGGCATAAAACAAAACAGGGAAGGGAAATGCAATTGTAAGAGAATGCAGTTTTAAATATGGTGGTAGTGGTGATACAAGCTCAAGCTTACTTCGTGGTGACACAATCTTGACGAATATGAAAACAAGTCATGTATATATGATGGAAGAGCATTCCAGGCATACATTTTTTAGAATCTGAGGGTGTGGGAAGAGAGAGAAAGATGCTGAACTCTGACATACAGAAGAGGAAAAAGTAAGACATTTTTCTATTAAATCAAGATTTAAAAAATAATCAGGTTTGCAGGAGAGGTAGAAACAAGACTGCTCATACACTGCTTTTGGTAGTCAAGTTTGTACAACCTATTTTAATGTAAATCTGACAGTATACATCAAAGCCTGAAAATATTTTGCACTCCTACTTCCAGGAATCTATTCTATGAAACACAATCAGGGTGTACTATAATTATCACAGAACACAGAGAAGTTGGATAAAACATAAGTTGCCAATTAATTGATTAAATAAAGTATGACACCCTCATAAGATAGAAGTTGGTATGGTAGAGGGAGATAATTTGAAAGAAAACATGCAGGTCTTTTTAACATGAAAAACCACAAGACTGAGTTCATAGCAACCACAGCTACTGGAAAATGAGGGGAGAATCCCAGAAAAGAGAGACTCAAAGTGGGGGAACCCAAATTATTACCTGCTATTCTGTTGAGAAATCCCTTCTTCACTCTGCTTTCCTGACAAATTCCTGCTCCTCTTCCAAGACTCAGTTTTTAAAATCATGTCCTAAGCCTTCCTGAGAGCCCTTCCCACACCCCCATCACTACCACCCAGTCCCTGGCAGAGTCAGCCCCCTCTTACTGTGCTCCCGCAGCACACATCATGCCCCTGTCAGAACACTGATCACACTGCACTGGCATTATCAGATTGAGCTTCTCCCTTGCATCATCAAGCATGGCAATAATAAATGTGTGTGACTGAAGGAATGCATGAGCTTTACATTATGGAGAAAAAGTTGGGAGACCTAAATATATATCTAACAAATCAGGGGAGCTAAGCTGATTCTGACACAGTCTTGCCCTGAGTAGCTGTCAGACCAAAGGGGAGAAAGACACAAGTATTGGAAATCCCAGTCCCAGACAACAACATGGCTGTGACAGAGGAAGGCATGTTCAGCTGTGCCCATAAAAAGGAACAGATGCCTGGGGGATCTGGAAAAACCTAGAGAGAAGAGGATGTTGGAGCCCAGCTTTGAAGCATGAATAGTAGTTCTCCTGGCATATGGTTGGGAAGGATATTCCAGAAGCATAAAGTACACTGTATCTGATTTTAAAGAGCTGAGTGACCCCTGAGAATTAATCTCCAGTGTCTTTAAGCATTAGTTAGGGTTGACTATTCTGTAGTAATGTTAAAAGGTAAACTAAGGCATATTAAAATTTTTAAGAGTTTGAGCAAAAAGTGATTTGAGTTGGGCAGCACCAAACCAGAGGTGGTTAGAAGTACTCCACTGGCAGGAGCTAGGGGGTAAGACTTTTACAGAGAAGACAGAAGCAAAGCAAGGAAATTATTTGATTGCTGGTAGTTTAAGCAGTTGCCTTACTTGTAGTTCCCCTTATTTGGGAAAGCTTGTTGGCTGTTTGTGATTGGTTGTCCTTAGGTTTTGATTTCTTAGCGTCGAGGCATTTGACAGGCTTAGGTTTTGGTTTGCTTATGAAGGCTGCTAAGGCATTAGAATCATCTCAGTCTAATGGCCTCCTTGTTTAATTAATTTAACAGTAATAACATTATATGGTATTTATTATTTTAAAACTAGATTCTGGGACTTCCCTGGCGGACCAGTGGTTAAGACTTCGCCTTCCAGTGCAGGGGGTGCAGGTTCGATCACTCGTCGGGGAGCTAAGATCCCACATGCCTCGCAGCCAAAAAGCCAAAACATAAAACAGAAGCAATATCATAACAAATGCAATAAAGACTCTAAAAATGGTCCACATCAAAAAAATCTTTAAAAAAAACAAAACTGTAGATTCTAGAGTGCTTTTCACTGACACTGACGCTGTAGCTTTCTTCCTTAGGTCAGCAAACATTGAAATACCCAAATAAGTATTTCACAACCTTCTACCACTTTACAACATAGAAAGGACTAAGGGAAAGTGGCTGACCCAAGGCCACAGAGCAAGTTCAAGACCAGATTGAGAGGAGAACCCAGGAGTTCTGAATTATCCTGCAGAGTTTAACCCCAAACACTTTCCCTCTGCTATAGGCTTCCCCTGCTTTGCTGTTCCACTTCCCCATCTTTGCTTTGCACCCTCCTGCTGTGTTTCCATTTTCTACACGTCTTAGCTGAATAGGTTCCATCCTCCTATACCTGGAATTCTTTCCTAGTTTATGTCTTTGCTCCTTCATTGTTTCCATACACCTTTTCCGTAGCTCCCGTATTCCAGTTCTCACATACCTTGCTCTGAGAATTTTCTGCTGTACGGCACCAACACCTACTCGGAATATGGCGCCTCCCAGTCTGTCCCACTTTTCGCTAAACAGGCGCGGCCATGTTAACCCCCTGGCTAAGGGAGACCAACAACCGGGGAAGTCTCGCGATAAATGCAAGTCAGGGGCCGTGCCACCTTCCGCGAGAGCGCAGAGGGTTCAGTGTCCCCGGCGTTGTAAGGGGCGGGTTGTAGCTTTCAGCTAAGGGCCAGAGAGGAGAGGCGGGAAGGTGAGGAGTCCGGTTCTCAGGAAAGGTTTCAGTCACTGACTGCGGTGTTGGGAGTAAGGGCGTCCTGTTTGACCAGCGATTGAGCGTTTGTAGCGGTCCGTGTATTCCGGTCCTGTCGTGGTTAGTCATTAAGGTGGCTTGCCTAAGATAGTGATTGCCGCCCAGTGGTGCTGCTGGTAGTGGATTCTAAGGAGGGTCAGAGGCTTACTGTGGGGTTTGTGGGGCTAGTGATTGGCCCTGCCTGTGTGAGTGATTCTGGGTCTTTCAGGGTCATGGGTTGAAGTGATAGAAGTCAATGGTTGGGGCCCTGAAGGGGGGTATCCCTTCCTTAGTGTTATTTAGGGTCAGTGAGTGGAGGCTGTAGTGCACCTGCGGGGCGCCTCTGTGATAGCTTAGGGAGCAGGCGGCTCGTGGTCAGTGATTGGGGCTACAGCTTAAATTTTAACAGCTTGCATCCAGGCTGCGCTCTGCATATATCATTATGTGCTGGATTTCCTTGTGTGGGTTTATGCCAGCAAGGATGTTGAGGATGGGGGAGAGTTCCCATCCTTCCCCCAGAGGTTCTGTTTCCATCCTTGGAACTATCTCCTAAACAGACTTCAGGCAGTTTATATTCGCTGCTACTAATCTTGTAACTAGTCAAGTACTTCAAGCCAAAGCCTTTACTCAGAAACACTCTCTCAAACCTCCTTTGCCTTCTCCCTGTCCTTCAATCTATGCACTGTCCCTGGACAATTTTAACCACACTCATTGTATCAGTTTCCACCCTTAAAGTCATGACTTTACCATCTATAACTCCAGCCCAGACTTTTCTAACAAGCTCCAGATTCACAGTAGCCAGCTCTCTCCTACACACCTCTGTGAGGTTTACTCACAGACACTTCAATCTTAGCATGATCAAAATAGTTATCTTCCTTCTTCATACTTTACCTACTCATCCTACTATATTCTACATCATTATAAATGACATCACTCTTCATCCAGCTAGGCATAATAAAAATCCAGAAATCCTTATTATTTTCTTTCAGGCAAACTCCCTCTAGTGAATTGTGCCCTTTAGAACTTCCTTGATATGATCTTGGATTAAGAGGTCAGTAGGACAATAGCTGCTAAAAATAACTATCATTTTTTGTTTTAAAAATAATATAACTTTATTCTAGAAAAATGGGAAACTGAAAATGCTAAACGCAACTTAATAGAAATCACTTCTAATCCTGCAACCCAAAGACAGCCATAACATTTTGATGTATGTCATTTTAAACACTTTTTTCTTGCAAATATATTTCTTTTCAACATGTTTATTGTTTTATGACTTATTTTTCTTGCTTTGTAATTCAACAAGAAAAACTTTTTCCAGGTATGTAAATACTTTTATAAGACATTTTTAATGACTGTGTGGTATTCTATTTTTTCAGTAATTGATTTAACCAATCCCTATTGTCAAATATCTAAGTGGTTTCTACTTTTTAGGTGATAAAGCAGCATAGTGATGAATATTCTTGCAGATACATCTTTGTGTATATCCATGCCTATTTTTTTTAGAATAAATATTTAATAGTAGATTTGTAGAGTCAAAGGAGGAAAACTTTCTAAACATATAATGAAATACAAACATTCACATTCTCAAAGGAAAAACATCATGTCCTGATCCTTTCAGAACTGTAAATTAATAGATTGATGTTATCACGGTGTAATTCTTTGTGGTCTCTGAATATTTGAAAGGAGCAGTCTCTAAAGGGTAGTCTTTTATGTAGTTGATCATAGGAGTTCATAGGCTCATGGTTGTGGGAATCACAGAGCAGGCTCAGACTCTCAAAGCTATCTTCTTTTTCCCCTCCCTGCTCATCCCAGCTCTGTCTGTACAGTTATCTACTGCTTCTGAAGAGCAACAGAAAATGAGCAAGTCTCAGGTAAGTGAGCTATTTATACCCCATTTTGTTTTCCACTGTATTTGAGGCAGTTTAAAAGAATTAATTCAATTAACTGAAAAAATGGAAAGAGAGATTGGGGAAAATAAAATAGAAGATCTGACCAAGGAAACTTGGAACATAGTCATACAAGTTGTAGGATCTTTCAGAGTTAAAGTTGAGCATACCATCTGCAATTATATGATTTACATTGTATATTAAATTTGATAATTTCTTGAAGATAGTAAAGATTTTTTTTGCATTTTGGTTTGAAGTTATTCTCCTGATGGGACTTCATGCATATGATGTAGTAGTCAGTGTCCTTAACATTTACCAACACATGATAAATTCCATAGCAGTTTTCTCCCTGGCTGTTTCTTAAACCATTTCTCCAAATAAGTATAGGGTATAATAACAAGGCAGAATTCAATTTCTAGGCAGTAAAATCAGAGGGCCAAGTACACAGCTGTCAAACAGTCTGGCTTGATCCATGAATAAAATCTGTAATTTTGGAAGCAGCATTTCTGGGAGTTTGTAAAATTAGTCGAGGGGATTAATGTCATTAAAGGTAATGCTAATTTTAATTTTATTAAATTTAAAATAATTTTAATTTGCAGTTTTTGACCAATAAATAATCAGATATTTTTCCTTTAAAATGCAATAGATTGAGAACCTCGAAGTGTATATCAAGTGAGCATGCTTGGTGGATAGTGGAGATCAAGTGAATTTGCTAATTTCTGTTGGTTTATCACTCAGCTACTAGCCAGCTGTAGAGTCAAAGGAGGAAAAACTTTCTAAACATATATAGCATACCATCTTAGTGGTTGTGATTGTCATACAGTTTTAAATGTTTTTATTTGAAGGTATATATTGTTTGATTTTTACCTATAATGTTCCATTGGTTTATTCCCATTGTGTAGCATATAGCTTCAGCATAGTAGTATTCAAAGTGGGGAGCATGCATTCCTTAGGAGATGTGCAAGATGATCCCCTGGGAAATGGAGAGAAAAGATGAGAAATTCTACTTATATATCTTTTTATGATCATAATATCTCAGTATTGAGTTACTTATATATAACTTACGGGGTTTTTTTAAGGTGTATATTATTGATGTGTGTGCTTTTTTTTTTGTTTTTAACTGAAAAAGGTCTCACCAAGATTCACCTCTTTAGAACAAAATATGCTGGTGTCAACCAGGAGACTCCAAAAATTTTAGGAGCTCTGTCAAAAAATCAGAGTCAAAGATCAAATGTTAGAACAAAAGATGCTCCTGGTACCTTTATTGCTTAGGAAATTACAAAAGTTTTAGGAGCTATGACCAAGAGCCAGGGAGAAGACTAAAATATATATTTCTTATCATATCACAATATCATGGTTTCTGATTTTAAAAGTTTGGGGATTACTGGGTTTTTTTTCTTCTTTTTTTCATTGAAGTGTAGTTGCTATACAGTACTATATAAGTTACAGGTTTACAATATAGTGATTCACAATTTTTAAAGGTTATACTCCATTTATAATAAAATATTTGCTATATTCCCTATGTTGTACAATACATCCTTGTAGCTTATTTTATACCTAATAGTTTGTACCTCTTAGTCCCCTACCCCTATATTGCCCTTCCCCTCTTCCCACTGGTAACCACTAATTTGTTCTCTATATCTGTGAGGACTACTGGGTTTTGTACCTATAATTCTGTACCCAATTTCAGTGTGTGGGTTTTTCCATACCACCAAGCAGTCTTCCAACACCAGCTGGGTGTCCTACAGTTTAACTTAATTTTGACACTACATACTTGGAGAAAGCATCAGATCCTACAGATTACAGGCTTAGTTCCACAAGGCTGCCCTCCACCTCGGATGCTAGTTGCAAGTCCAGATTGTTATCTGTGCTTCTGACCCACTGGCTGTAAATCAGAGGTTCCCACCACCCCCTCCTTTGTTTTGATTTATTTGCTACAGGGGCTCACAGGACCCAGGAAACCAGTTTACTCACTAGATTACCAGTTTGTTATAAAGGATATTAAAGGATATGAATCAAGAGCCAGATGAAGAGATTCATAGGTCCCGAACAAAGGAGCTTGGGGACCAGCATGTGACACATGGAAGCATTCTGGTCCACCACCCTGGAGGTTTTCTGAACCCTTTCCTCTTGGGTCTTTATGGAGGCTTCATTATGTAGGTGTGATTGATTATCATTGGCCATTGGTGATTTGTTCAACCTCTAGCCCTGCTCCGCTCCCTAGAAATCAGGGAGTGGGGCTAAAAAAAAAAAGCACCCTCTATTCACAGTTGGCTTCCCTGGCAACTAGCCCCCATACTTAGGTGCTTTCCAAAGATACCTAATTAACATAACAAAAGATACCTTTATCCCACTCCTCACAGAAAATTCAAGGGTTTTTAGGAGCTCTGTGCCAGGAACAGGATAAGGACCAAATATACTTTATTATAAACCACAGTGTCACAGTACCATTGGTACTAGTGCATCTCCTCATTTCCTTTATTCAGCCACCAACTCCCATAGTCATAGTCCAGATTTATAATTACCAATAGCTCCAAGCATTTCACTCTCTGGCCATTATTTCTTCCTTCCTTCCTTCCTTCCTTCCTTCCTTCCTTCCTTTTCCTTTCTTTCTTTTCCTTTGTTTCTTTATTTCTTTGTTTCGTTTCTTTCTTTCCTTCCTTCCTTCCTTCTTTCTTTCTTTTCTTTTCTTTCTTTTCTTTTCTTTCTTTTCTTTTCTTTCTTTTCTTTCTTTCATTTTTTGGCTACGTTGGCCTTCGTTGCTGTGTGCGGGCTTTCTCTAGTTGCGGTGAGCGGGGGCTACTCTTCGTGGTGGTGCGCGGGCTTCTCATTGTCGTTGGCCATTATTTTTATTTCTAGCTCATTATCTAGTACCTTGACTCCAGCAATTCTTCAGTTCTGTACAGACCTCTGATCAATTGACCATCCATATTTTCACTGTTTATTACATTCCTCTCCCCACTTCTTAATTCTCTCTTTTCTCAGCTTGAATTCCATGCTTCTCAGTTTTTGTTAGGAGCAACTGTCACCCCACGGAAGTCCAGTTGCCTACCCATTATTGCCATTTACATGTCAATTATAATAGATACCTTGAGATTAATGGGGCAAGTAGATTTCCTTGTGGTAAAAAATATATAACATAAAGTTTGCCATTTAAACCATTTTTATATGTACAATCAGTTGTATTAGTTATATTCACAATTTGTGCATCTATCACCACTATTTCCAGAACCTTTTCATCACCCCAAACAGAAACTCTATGCCCAACGAGCAATAACTCCCATTCTTCCCTTCCTCCCACAGCCCCTGGTAACTTAAAACTACTTTCTGACTCTGTAAATTTGCCTATTCGAGGTATTTCATGCAAGTGGAATCATACAATATTTGTCCTTGTGTGTCTAGCTTATTTCACTTAGCATGTTTTCAAGGTTTATCTGTGCTGTAGCATGTATCAGAACTTCATTCCTTTTTATGGCTGAATAATATTCCACTCTATGGATATACCACATTTTGTTTATCCATTCATCTGCTGATGGACACTTGGGTTGTTTGTACCTTTTGGCTTTATTGTAAATAAAGCTGCTATGAACATTTGTATACAAACATCGGTTTGAGTACCTGTTTTCAAATCTTTTAGGTATATACCTAAGAGTGGAATTTCTGGGTCATATGGTAATTCTATGTTTAACTTTTGTAGGAATTGCACAGCAATTTATGAGGATTCTGGTTTCTTCACATGATTGCTAACACTTGTATTTTCTGTTTTGTTGTTGATAACCATCCTACTGGGGTAAAGTGGTATCTCATTATGGTTTTGATTTGTTTCTCTAATGACTAATGAGGTTGAGCATCTTTTCATGTGCTTATTGTCAGTTTGCATGTCTTCTTTGCAGAAATGTCTATTCATGTTCTTTGCCCATTTTTTCATTGAATCATATGTCTTTTTATTGTTGAACGAATAGAATTCTTGATTCCACCTCTCCCTCCACCAAGACCAGATCTTTCTTGTCTCCTGGACTTCAGTGGGATGCAGTTGCTTACACCAAAAACCAAGGAGTTTTAGTTGATTCCTCTCCTTTCCTCATACACTGTCTTTCAGAAGTATCTCAGTTGGATTTGATTAAGATCAAATTTTAAAATAGAGTGCTCTTATTGAGGTAGAACTTAATCATGGTTTGAAAAGTAAGGAACAGTGAGTTCATTAGCACTTTATTGTTACTAACTGATCAAAAATTATTTCATTTTTCTCATGTCTAGATATGCATTTTAAAAAATTGAGCAGATTAAATATTACGTACATTTTTTATTTTAATTTAAACTTTAAAAACAATGGTTTCTGCTTTATTTAATTTTTTAAAGTGTTTTAATGGAAAAATTCAAACATATATAAAAATATAGAGAACAGTATAATAAACCCCTTGTACTTCCTCATATATTTTCAACAATTAATATTTTACCAATCTGACATCTTTCCTCTTTCTCTTCTTTTATTTATCTGTTCTCTAGAGTTGCACATATTAAAGCAAATCTCATACATGGCATTTCGCCAGTATATACTTGCTTTGCAGATTACTGTTGTTGTTATCTTCGTTTTCTGACAAGTGATACTGGTTTTCCCTTTAGTGGTTTCCTTTTAAAATACATTTATTTAAGTAAAGAAGTTGTTGAGTTAAAACTATTAAGTCAATAATAGCGCAGGTGACATGCAGATATGGTAAAACCTCTGAAGGCTGTATGTGAATAAATGACGTTTGAGAGCATTATACTGAAGTGCTCACAGGTCCTTGAATTTACCATGTTCTTCATGTTCACATGCCTTTTTCCTACTCCACTCTTCATCTGGAATGATCTTTCTCCCTCCTCCACAGGTTACCAGAGAAAACACTATTCATTTTTTATGTTTCAAAAACTTTTTATTTTATCTTTACATTTAAAACTTTTTATTTTTACATTTTTCATTATTCATTTTGTATAACTTTACAAAGCCCAAAATAGAATCACTCTTTCTTTCCTATTTCTGTCATAACCTATTTAACATCTTATAGCATTTACATACTTACTTGTTTGCCTCCATCTACTAGTCTGCAAACCTGCTGTGTTTTATTCATACTTGTATCCTGAGCACCAAATAGTGCTGGTCACATAGGTGCTTAATACATGCTTGATGGAAAGAGAATGGATGATTCTCAATGGCAAAGTTTTTCTAGTAGGAGTTTGACTTCTCCCACATGGTAGAACCCAAAATTGGCCTCATGGTAAACATTTTCTTTAACTTTTTGTGATGAACCCTGCATGATGAAAACAGCAATTATTTCTCATACATCTCTTATACATCACTCAGTGTTTTTCACTTTAGATTTAATAGGAATGTTCTGTTACAGGGATCTGTTTCATTCAAAGATGTGACTGTGGACTTTACTCAGGAGGAGTGGCAGCAGCTGGACTCTGCTCAAAGAAACCTGTACAAGGATGTGATGCTGGAGAACTATAGCAACCTTGTTTCAGTGGGTAAGGACATTTTCCCTCAGAGGGTACTGATATTAGTTACCTATTGTTGTATAACAATTATTATAGTGGCTTAAAGTAAACATTTTTTTACAAACAATTTCTGTAGGTCAGGAATATGGAACAACTCAGCTGGGTGGTTCTGGCTTGTGGTCTCCTGTGTGGTTGTAGTCAGATGTTAGCAGGGGCTGCATCCATCTGAAAACTTGACTGGGACTGTAGGATCCATTTCTAAGGTAACTCACTCCCGTGGCTGTTGACAGGAGCCTTAGTTCCTTGCTGTTCATTGGCTGGAGATCTCAATTCCTTGCCATGTGGGCCTGTTCTCACGACCTGGCAACTAATTGCTCCTAGATAGAGTGAGAGCAAGGAGGAAGTCACAGTGCCTTTTATGACCAAGTCTCTGAAATCACACATGATCACTTCTACCTTCTTGTGTTCATTAGAAGTGAGTTACTAGATATACAGATTGCCAACAAACACATGAAAGGATGCTCAACATCACTAATCCTTAGAGAAATGCACATCAGAGCTACAATGAGGTATCACCTCACACCAGTCAGAATGGCCATCATCAAAAAATCTACAAACAATAAATGCTGGAGACGGTGTGGAGAAAAGGGAACCCTCCTGCACTGCTGGTGGGAATGTAAATTGATACAGCTACTATGGAGAACAATATGGAGGTTCCTTAAAAAACTAAAAATAGAACTACCATATGACCCAGCAATCCCACTACTGGGCATATACCCTGAGAAAACCATAATTCAAAAAGAGTCATGTACCACAATGTTCATTGCAGCACTATTTACAATAGCCAGGACATGGAAGCAACCTAAGTGTCCATCGACAGATGAATGGATAAAGAAGATGTGGCACATATATACAATGGAATATTACTCAGCCATAAAAAGAAATGAAATTGAGTTATTTGTAGTGAGGTGGATGGACCTAGAGTTTGTCATACAGAGTGAAGTAAGTCAGAAAGAGAAAAACAAATACCGTATGCTAACGCATATATGTGGAATCTAAGAAAAAAATGGCTCTGATGAACCTAGGGGCAAGACAGGAATAAAGACGCATAGAGAATGGACTTGAGGACACGGGGAGGGGGTTGGGTAAGCTGGGAGGAAATGAGAGAGTAGCACTGACACATATACACTACCAAATGTAAAACAGATAGCTAGTGGGAAGCAACTGCATCACACAGGGAGATCAGCTCGGTGCTTTGTGACCACCTAGAGGGGTGGGATAGGGAGAGTGGGAGGGAGACACAAGAGGGAGGGGATATGTGGATATATGTATACATATAGCTGATTCACTTTGTTATACAGCAGAAACCAACACAACATTGTAAAGCAATTATACTCCAATAAAGATGTTAAAAAAATAAATTAAAAGTGAGTTACTAAGTCCAGCCCACACTCAAGGGGTGCAGAATAAGCTCTACTTCCTGAAGGCAAGCATGTCAAAGAATTTATGGGGATATATTAAACCCACCATAGTACCCAATTGACTGCCTTTCCTTTATATTTTGCTAAAAGCTACTGCGTCTCTGAATGCTTAAAGAGCTTCATTTCAACCTATAAAGGTCAAAAGAATATTAATTTTGAGTACCAAATACTGTGCTTCTACCTCTCCAGTGAACTTGGATGGAAAGAAAATGGGTACTGCATCCTGCTCATTCTTCAGAGGCTGAAGACAATGGGCTGGGCCGAAGTTCTGGTTTTTATAAATTAATTGTGATATAATGTATGTTATAAAGTGTTCAAATATTAATTACACAGCTGATGCATTTTTTCATATGTATACACCTACCTGACCACTACTCAGATCAAGATACTGAATATTTCCAGCACCCCAGCAGTCTCCCTTGACCCACTCCCTTACCATTTACCTACCTCCTCAGAGATAACAACTTGTGGTTCTATTACCATAAATTAATTCTGTTCTTGACCTTCATGTAAGTGTAATCACACAGTATGTAAGATTTTTTTTTTTGTCTAGCATATTTCATTTAACATAATATATGTGAAATGCATTCATGTTATTGCACGTGACAGTAGTTTGTTGCTCCTTATTGTTGTATTATATTCTGTTTAATGAGTATACAATAATTCTTCAATTTATCCAGTCTACTGTTGATGGTCATTTGGGTTGTTTCAGATTTTGGCAGTTATGAATAAAGTGCTTATTAACATTTTTATACATACCTTCTGGTAGAAATAAGCATATCATTTCTATTGGGTATATACAGAGGAGTGGAATTTCTGGGTCATAGGGTATATGTATATTTAGCTTTAGTAGATACTACCAGTTTTCCAAAGAGATTATACCAATTTATATTATACTAGCAATGTAGTAGAGTTCCATCAACCTTTAGTAATGTCAGTCTTTAAAATTTTAGCTATTCTGGTACATATGTAATGGATGTGAGTTCTAGGTTGGTTAGTTTATCCACTAACACCCAAGTCCATCAACCTTTAGTAATGTCAGTCTTTTAAATTTTAGCCATTCTGGTACATATGTAATGGATGTGAGTTCTAGGTTGGTTAGTTTATCCACTAACACCCAAGTCCTAAATTATTTCCCATAAACAGGGTATCAGTCTCTGAATTCACATGTAATCTTCTTGTTTAAGCAAGGAGAACCATGGATGGAGGAGGGAGAAATGTCAAATTGGGCCTATTCAGATAAGTTGAGAACCTGGCAAATGGGAGGCAGGCAAGGAAGATTCATATTGATTAGTGATATGTTTGTCTTTGAAGTATTTTTTAGGAAATTATTATTGAAGGCCATAGATGTTTACAAATGGCTGAAAATAATTGATGTGGGTTTGTGGAATACCTAAATGACCCTGCTACATATCAAACACCCACATAATCCTTTTCCTTTAGTTGACTTTTAGAGAAATAGGTAATCCTCCTACCTATACTCTGAATCTTATCTAGCCCACATATTTAGGACACTTCTTAATTAGTTAGCATCTCTTTGACTAATATCTTTACCACTCCATTCTCCCAAAGTGGGCTTATACTCCTCTCCTCATGCACTCAGGCATTCTTAGGTATGCTCTCTTTCAAAGTAACTTACCGAATGATATTCATATTCTTTCTAATCACCTTCTGTTTTTCTCACCTTTCAGTGTGAAGTGTCTTGGAGTTATAATCTTTTGTTTGTTTCTTAAAAAAATTCCTTAGGGTCTCCAGTAATAGAAATATTATTCCTTCTTTTCCTGTCTTCCTTTTCCACTGCATTCTCTATGACCATTTTTATCTGATTCTTTTTTTTTTTTTTTTTTTTTTTTTTTTTTTTGTGGTACGCGGGCCTCTCACTGTTGTGGCCTCTCCTGTTGTGGAGCACAGGCTCTGGACGCACAGGCCCAGTGGCCATAGCTCACGGGCCCAGCCACTCCGTGGCATGTGGGGTCCTCCCAGACCGGGGCACGAACCCGTGTCCCCTGCATCGGCAGGTGGACTCTCAACCACTGTGCCACCAGGGAAACCCTAATCTGATTCTTTATGTCATTTTTATTATCTTGGTTGTTTTCTTTCCTTTAGTCAGTGCCACTTCTTAAATTTTTATTTCCTTTCTTTGCTTCCTGACCACACCTTGTAATTTAATCTTCCATTTTTTTCCCCTGAGTTCAATCAATTCTTTTTCATTTCTCCCTGTTTTTTGTTCATTTTGGTTTTTATCTTTTGAAGTTCTGACTCATGGTGGTTTTCCGTGTCCTGATATGCTTGTTTGAGTATATTTAATTCTGCCTGGAGTTCAAACAAAATTTTCTTTTGTTTCATGGCAAGTTTTTGAAGGGGACAATTTTCTCTGTTTATTTCTGCACAAATTCATTTCCTGATTTTATGTAATAGTTCTCTATGGACTTTACTTTTTCTTTTCATTTTATCATATCACAGTGTTTTTATGAGATTTGTCATTTTATGGATCCCTTTTCTGTTAATATAGCAAAGTTCAGGGACTTGAGCAGAGTCCTTTCTTCTTCTCTCTCTCCCTCCCTCCCTTCCTTCCTTTCTGTGATTAAGGAGGAGTTTTGAGTTTTCTGGTTTTGTGGTTCTCTTTTGTCTTCCAGGACCCTAAATTTCCTCTTTTTTTTCTTTTCCCCATTGCCACCACCCAGTTACCAGAGGGTACTTCGTCCTTCTTTTTTGCTTTTTGTCTCCCTTTGAAACTGCTATTCTTCTGAGGACTGTCCCCTTTAAATAGAGTCTATCTTATCTTGTGCCTTTTTAATGTCATCTGACCCTTTAAGATGCATGTACTTTGAAATCCTCTCCCTGTAGTTGTGCTCTAATCTGCCTGGTTACATATAAAACTTTTTTTTTTTTTTTTTTTTTTTGG